CGGCGGGGCATCAGCCCCCCAGGAGGGGGGGACCCGGTGGGGATGGGGGACAGCCCTCGTGCCAAGTGGGAAACACTGTGACCTTCGTGCACCCCGACGAGCTGCCCCCTCTTCCTCGCTCGCTCGCGCGCTTTCTCTAATGCACGTTTGTGAAGGGACCCCCTGACGCGCGCCTGTGTTGGGACATTTCTTTTGTAAAGCTGATCGTGGACAATAAACGTGACGTTTTCTGTTCGAGCCTCCTGCGGTGCACGAGGTCAGTGCGGGGACGGAGGGGACCAGCCAGCCCCAGCCGAGGTGTCCTTCACCCAGATGCTCAGGGTGACATCCCTGGAGGGAGACAGGTGGGCCCATAGCTGGCATTACAGAAACATCATTGTGAGCTTCTGAGTATTGTTGCCCTGGGAGGGGGAGGGTCCACAGTTTGGGCACCCCTCATCTACCCTGTCATGTAGCAGCATGGGGTACAGGCTGCTACTGGGGGGGAAGCACCGGTCCGTGGAGGAGGAACCCTCACCCCCATGACAGAGAAGCAGAAACCAGTGGGAAACCATGGCCTCCAGGTCAGACCGCGATGGCAAAGAGCTCACATGAGGTATAAATCTAATTAAGTACTAGTAATGAGTTCCTGACCTAGCTAGGCACGAGCTGGTTTGCCCCCAGCATGGCTCTCGGAGCTGCCTATTCTAGAGCAACCCATGGCCATATCTGCATGATGCTTTTGCCCCTCAGTGGGTCCTGTCCCTCCTAGGAAAGGCGCAACCTCAACAGTATTTGAGGAAACCAGACTATAAAATCAGAGGACCCAGTTTTGCACAGCTCCCTGCCATTGCTGGTATACCAGTGAGGTTTCCTCGCTGAGCCATAACCATCCTCCCCAGCTCCCACTTCTCCTTCTGGAGTATATTTAATGCCATGAAACAAAGTGTGGGGCTCTCACCTTCAGCCCTTCAGCACATCTCCTCAAAGTTGAGGGGGTTTTTGAAGAAAAAAATAACTCTGAGTACTCAGCATATGCTCAAGAGCTTTGCTTCGCTGAAGGCTCACCCCCACATCACTAACAGGAGAGGGTTCAACAGGTGACCTCTGCCCAAATAACAGCAGCATAATTAGGAAGGACAGCACCTTTTCGAGCAGGAAATGTCCAAAACCATTGCTGGGGTGACAAACTTAGGAGGAGGCGAAATAAAGGGGAGGGCTGGTCCATAAGACCCTCCTATTTAAACTGCAGGAGCCCTGTTAGGGTGCTTTTGGGGCTGCTGGCCAAAACAGAGGATCTGTGGGAGGATGAACAAAGATGGAAAACAGCCTGGCCACTGGCGTAGGGTACTGGCATAAAACCTGTTCCTCCGGTGCCCGGAAACACAGTCCGTGCCGAAATCTGTGTGAACCGCCCCCCCACCTTGGAAAAGCAAAACCAAAGGGACACCAGGAGATGCTTGGACAGGGACTTGGGCGCTGCCCTCTGCCTCTCCGCCAGACTATGCTGGTGCAATTCCAACCCCAGCCGTGTCCCTGGGACACGTGGATCTGTCACTTCTGGGATGGGAGAAAGGGGAGAGCCCAGTGGCACGGCTTCTGCAGGGCGACCTCCTCTTCCCCCAGAGGGTCACAGCCAGCTGAGCAGACCTGGGGGGATGCAGGAAATCTTGATATAATTTAGCCAGACATTTTAAAAGCTTACGGCAAACACTTCCGTATAAGGCTCTTCAGGAACCGAAGGCATTACAAGGAGATTAGAAACTGGTTGGGAGACAGAAAATCAAGAGTAGGAATAAATATTTGATTTCCATCCTGCCCTGACTCTCTGCAGGCAACAGCGGCTGCTTCTCGCCCATCTGGGGAGGAGCAGAGCAAGAAGGGACCATTTATTTTTGGTAAGCTGAGCCTTGCAAGAGCTGCAAACCCGTGACAGGGCTTAAAAGGTGGAGGAGACAACAAATCAATGGCGTTGCTGGCTGGAAGGAGTAATTACAATGACTTACACATATTGCTTGCTTCTAAATTAACCAAGAGCACTCAGGAGAAGCCCCGCATCTCTCTAAGGGCAGCTGGCTGGAAAACAACGCGTTGCATGCAGAAGGGATGAGGAACAACAAAGTCACCCTTTGGGGTAGGGGGGGAGGTTAAAGAAGGAAATTTTTAACAATGGTGCAGGGAAGTTTTTGCAGTTGGGGCTGGTGCACTCAGCTGGGATGCTGTGTTGTGTCCAGATACCTAAGATGGGAGGGGAAAAAAAGGAGGGGAAGAAATGGAGGAAACCCAAGATGTGGGCAGAGCAGAGGTAGGGGC